TGTGCTACCAACTTTATTCAGCTAACCAGTAATCGTTGCCGACGAAAATTAATGTTTCGGCAACTAAACTTGTTAGCCTTGGTCAGCAGCGTTAACATCGAAAAATTCAGTACATTATTTAACTAATCATTTCCCCATTAATTCTTGATTTTCAAATTTGCAGCTTTGCAGAGAGACAGGTTTGACGAAAGCGCAAACATCAAAACAATGGAGATAAAAAAAAGTCCAAACCAATGTGGAATCACGCTGATAAACCGATAAACCCGGCGCTGCCAACTAATTAAATTGCCATACATGTTGATGTTGCGCTTCGGAAGCCCATAAACGTTGTTCGTTTTCACGAGTAGACGGCCTTGACCTTTGCATGCATGCGTTCCAGTTTCCAACATCATCCAACAGCGCACCCTCCGTGGTCCACGAATTTCTGCTTTTGTCAGATTGCTCTGAATCACTAATTGTAAGTTCCGCTCCGTAAAGTATTGGCTCAGCATTTGCATGTATGATTACTAATACACACTTAACTTCAACTGTGATCGGCAGACTTCCAGACTGGATTTTTCTAGGTCTGACCGTAAAATAGTATGGCAAATATGAATTCCGCGACCGGACCGATGCCTCCGTTCCGGCGGCTGCTAGCTGGTGTCAACCAGATGGGCTATCAGAACACTGTTGCTGTTCCCGTCAATGGCGCAGTGTGGCTGGGATTTATTCAGCATACTGACGGAGAGCACGTGTTTGTCGATTTCGACTCGAAGAAGGTCGAAGCCAGATGGATCCCTGCAGCCAGTATATATCCGATGCCGTGGTACGACCATTTCGAAAATCACCAACGCCACCGGCCTCTGTATGCGGCACTGCGCGACAAAGACGACGGCCCGTTCCGGTTTCAGCCGGTTTTTCTGTCATATGCTCTGGCGGCAGGTCCGCAGGCTTACATGTATTACGTCAAGACCGATGTCCAAGGCGGAGGTTCTGCCAGCGCTCGCATCGAACTGGTGGATCATTTTCAGGTCCTCGGTCTGGAGTGGTTTACGGAGCCAGCGTTGGTGCAGCGCAATCACGGGCTGTTGTATACGAAATACTTCGTCCCCTGTGCCATGTCCACGCAGGTGCTCGACGAGCCGGTCGACAGATCGCGCGTCATTAAGCAATTTCGCGAAGCGTTTGCTGATGACAAGACGTTGACCGACCTGACGGATGCCTGCCGGTTTCACTTGCGTATCGTAGCGGAGGGGTGTGTGTTTCTGGTCATCGGCATCGGAACGAGTGCGAATGTGCAGCAGACGACGTTGGCAAAGCTCTTGATAATGTTGGAGAGACATCTAGCCATCCGGACGGGTCTGCTACCGATTCGTTTCGACACTTGCCCCGGCACTGAGACTAGCATTGGCACGAAAGATAGGATCAGTAGCTCCACGCGTTAGTGAATCTAGAAAAAATTCAGTTCCTACAGGTCTAACGTAATTCTCACTGAACTGATGTCTAGATCGTCTGCTTCTTTGGTCCTTAGTAAATGCGCAGATATTTTCCGTACCGTATAAAGAAGCTCTTGACCGATGACTACTTATCCATGAAATTTTTATTTCATTTTTGTGTTCATGATGTAGGCATCCGAATGGAGCCATCGTGTTCGGCAGCCTTGTTTCGCCACCTGCCTTACTGGATCTTCAGTGAAATCTTTTCTTACCTGGATCTGCATTCCATGATGACGCTCAAGCGGTACGCTGTCCCAATAAAAATACATGCAAATGGCGAAAATCGTAGTAGCGAATTTCCGAGTTTTTGCAGTTTCACTATGACAACTCCGGTTGTGCATTCGTGCAAATTCCCGTTTCCGTTGCTCAAAATTACTCACTGTTTGCTCATTTCTCTGATACAGAGTGTGCGCATTATGGCAAGACCTGCTGAGCAGTCCCTGCGTATACGAGCACGTCCGGGTATGTTTGGACGCCATGACCAGGGAAACCACGTCCGACAACTACAACTCCTTCCGTGTGGCAGCGCTACTCACGCGCACCATCAACTCCGCCACCAAAAGCTTGACGATGATAACACGCTCTTTTGGCGATTGCGCGATATTCACGGTTTTTTTGCTGTATGCCATGGAAGCCGTGGCGGTTTACGTGCCCCTGATAATACTCAAGGACGTCATCGAGGACAGCCTTGGGTCAGGTTTTAAGGGCCAAATACTGATTCATTCTATGACCGTAGATGCAACGCTGTTTGAATACAATTGTCAACGGATTGTGCTGCACAACTGGAAGGTCAGCCACCTGTTTGGCCGGGCAATGTACAAAATTTTTAGCGATGATCCAGCCATGACATTCTATACAAATCTGCATCCCTTGCCACGCCGGGAAAGGGAGTTAATGGTGCCTCTCGGGAGGGAAAAGGCGCTGGCCATTGATCAGTTAGTGATCACACTGCCGCGGCTGGTTCTGCACTGCCACGAAGGCCAGTCTAACATGGTCTCCCGCATCATGAAGGCCGTCAATGAGCACTTTCCGCCGGTTACCCAGGAGATGCATACAAAGGTCAGGGCTATTTACGCACGTTGGGTGCGTGACCTGGTGTATCCGTCCGAGTGGGAAACCATTCGCTGCTACCTTTCACTGTAAGTCTTCTCTGCAAATCCGTGACGGTAATACAGGAGTGACGTGGTTCTAATGATGCGAGATGTTCTTCCCATCCTAGTTTTCCTTCCGGGAGATACTTTACGGAATAAAGTGCCATCGGTTGCCGAACGTAGAACTCAGAAATTTTTGAACAAAGCTATAATAATATGCATTCTATCTGTGTACTTCGGAATTATGGTGGCGGGAAATATTCTGCAAAGTTCTCTCTAAGGGCAGCTCCAGGTAGTACGTAAAATGCGTAAAAAACGAAAAAATGCTGCTCAGGATAGCGCGCGCGCAGATAGTGCAAGGAGGGAGGCAGTGCACAAGGTTTAGTGAAATATAGTGCGCGCAGTAATCATCATAATAATTTACAATGCCGGTAAACGGTGAAATGCCGTAAGGACAGTTATATAACTTATAATACTACGGTAACACAGCATTTGAGATGCCAAATTACAGGTTTAGCGGCTTTTATTCGGACGGCACACCTCGATCATGGGTGGATGTCGATTTGCGACTGGTGGATCCCGGCGACCTGAGCAAAATGGCGCTCCACGGGATCCACGAAGTATTCCTGGTTGGCCACTAACCACGAAAACTGTCTTCCAAAGTGCCTTTACATGATTGCATCATATTATGATTGACGCTGCTCGCTACTGCCAGTTGGATGGAGGACGTGTGTTGACTGTGGAACGGACAAAGAAATTTCGTATGAGATATTCATTTTGTTAGCGGTAACTGGCTTTTTTAAGTTTGTTCTGAAAACTGTTGATCTGCTTTGAATCTCCTTCATATTGTGCACTGTGGCTGTAGTTGCACTCACTGTTATTAGCGACTAGCGATAGCACTTAGCGACCGTGTTGTACCGACGATACTGAAGTTCTCGATATCGCTCTCCTACTAACTAGTAAATTAGTTTAGGCGATAAACACAAAATAAAATAAATAATAAAAGGCAGCTACACCTGTATGTACTAAATTTTTATTGTAAAATATATCTACTGCCAACGAACTGACCACTGACAGCAAGATGACCTTTGTTACATTTTTTGCAATACTGACTAGGTCTTTTTTAAGGAATAAACCGGCATGAGTACGTACAATTTTGTCAAATTGCTTGTTATAAAAAGACTACTACGCGTAACGCGGTTCCGCTTTAGTTGAAACAGTACAGAAAGGCGATTACGTGCGAAAGTGTCCTTGCTTTCCTTTTCTCCACGACTTCCTTTTAAAAATTCTTTTTGAAACTTAATCAATTTAGCTATACGTGAGTTTTGGTTTTATCCATCGAACCCAGCGCGATCGTTTCATTCTCATTTTTGTTTTCCACAATAGCGTAATTTATCGCAACCAAAATATGAGAAAATATTCATTTCCGCCTCTACGCATCCTGATGTTACTGCTGCTGACTAATTTGGAGTGATTATTGCTGATTGTGCTTACATTTTTCAGTGTTTCGTATTAAATTGTTGTAAAGACTTGTGTTTTCTGTAGCCTAGAGGGTGCGACTGCACTGTGACTGTGCAAAGAACAGTAAACACTACTGGCGTACAATCTGCAGGTTGTAGCTATTCGCTGCGTGTATGTCGAGCGGTCGTTTTCTGGGAAGGCGATGGCCAGTGGCTACCTGTCATGGCGTCTCACGGAGCAGATGTACGTTTAAATTTGTGGCATTTTGTTTTTATATGGGTTTGCCTTCTAACAAATGAAACCGAAAACTGTATGTCTGTTTTCACGACTGTTGTCTGTAGCCTAGAGGGGGGCAAATGCTCCGTGCAAAGGACAATAAACTTCCATTATTGTTGTTATCATTAATATTTATTATGTAAAAATATCAGCTCGCTGTAGAACAGTAGAAGTATGTACAAGTATACGTGCATAATTTTAACACCCAGACCAAGAAAAGTTAGTGTGAAAAATGAACGTTAGCCAATGCAGCTGCCGGGTACCGACACTTCAGGCTGCAGCATGCATTCTCGCATCTGGACAGCTGCACTTATAATATTGTGAACGCGAGATTGAGTGTTTCTTTTGTAAACGCCGTTTTGTTCTGGTGCATAGTTTGTACTCGTACCATGATACTTATCAAAGGTTATTATCATATTGTGAACGTTCTTTTGTTGCAGATCTGTGCTATTTTGCAGAAAAGAGGCGACCTATTGTGAGGTATGTCGTGCGAGTCAAACTGAAGAGGATATCTGGGCTGCCTCTATAGCTTGCCTACGGTTATACTGTCTGTCTAATGGTGTGTCTCTTTGCCTTACGGCCCTTACCAATCCGGGTTGCAGAGTAGGCTTATGATTTCTCTGGCTGTGCAGAAAATTCTAGAGCAGCCCATAACGCCATAAGTGAAATTTTCAGTAAGCCGTTGCGGTCTCAAAGACTACTCTCAAAGACTACATTCTTGCTTGGACAGCTCATTCTTGCTTGGACAGCTTGCAGACTGCCCAATAAATTTAGAACTTTTCTCTCTGCAGCCTTTAGCCTACATTCAGCCCATTCCACAGTATACATAGTCGAACATCTTGACTAAGTATATGACATGTAAATTACGGTGACCTTTAAAGTTTTGACAACACTTGCAAGGCATGATGCCTGATTCTGAAGACAGTGGAGGTTTTGTTCAAGAGGATTTGTCTGATTTGCCGTTTGTTGATTTGGCAAAGAAACTATCCAGTATTCTGCAGGAAGTGTATGCAAATTTACCACCCAAGAATCACAAACTCCGCCCGATCCTCACTAAGAACAAAGATGTCCTGATGCAAATCCCATCTTTACTGAAAGATCACCACATCCGATTATATGAAAATGCCCTAAAGACGGAAACCGAACTGATCCATGAAAAGGAGCGCACAAGACAACTTACTAGTGCCCGTGTTGAAGATACCGGCACCCTTACCGATGACCACCACGACAAGCCGCGAAAAACTTATGCCGCCATCACGAAAGAACCTGTGCCGGCAGTCATCCTCCAGCCGAAGAAGACAGAGCCACTACCTCCTCCCAGATCCCGCACAACAACAAGTGAGCTCACCAAACTATCCAATGCTCTCAACACTGCTCTCCCTGCTGGTGCCGCTGATCTGAACGTGACCGACATCCGTCCCATTGGTGGTAAGCGTGTTCTACTTCGTTTTAAGAATGCCGACAGTGCCGCAAATGGTAAGTCAATCTTGGAAAGCCATTCAGAAGCTTTGGGTTATGATGTGGTCAGTACTAAACCCAAAACGTCAAGGGTTATTGTTCGCCGAGTCCCAAAAACACTGTCTAATGACGATTTCTTGAAAGAATTACGCGTTAAAGTAAACATCCCACCCAATTCAGTGCTTAAAATTGTCACCCGGTTGACCAGTCAAAGAGAGGAAGTATCCACGTGTGCAATTGTTTTCGAGGTCAGCCAGGATGTTCGCAATATCCTGACTGACCAACGGTTCTTAATGATTCAGTGGTCCCGATGTCCTATAGAGGACCATGTTTACGTACCACAATGTACTAGATGTTGTGCCTACGGTCACACTTCGACAAAGTGTGAAAAATCCCCTCGCTGTGCGTTTTGTGCTAAATCCCATCACACTAACGACTGCACGGAGAATGCTGATTTTCGATTCATTTGCGCAAATTGTAGTGATAGCGGTGTTTATTCTCCGACAAACTACCATACGGCGTATGACCACTTTTATTGCTCTGTCTTCAAAAATTCGCGATACTTTTACAACCGAAATTTCCCAAAAAACCGGTAAACGCTAACGAAATTTTAATTAACAACCAGGCTGTGCCAAATAATTGTTCGACAATGCTTAACGATGAAAATTTGTCCAGTAACGATATTGGCTACCCGACCGTAAATAGTCGACAACCGAAACATCCTGTTCTTCTTGAGAACATCCGCATACGATGTTGTAATGTCAGAAGCGTCAAGAACAAACGTGAAGAAGTGAAATTGTTTTGCTCGGACAGTGATGTGACCGTTCTTACTGAAACATATGATAGACCATTTATGACAGGTTCTGATTTTGCTGACCTGGATAACTACAATGTCTTTCGAAATGGTAGAGCTGATGGTCGTGGTGGTGTTGCTGTTGTTATCAGAAAATCTCTTTGTGCTTTTCCCATGCCAGAGCTTAATACTCCTTCCCTTGAAATTTTGTGCGTTGAGTCTCGTGCTATTGATCGTATTTTTATTGCTTTCTATGCGCCCCCTGATAAAAGTATTCATCTTGTGCCTGCCCTGATTAAACACCTGCGTTCTAATTTCTCTCTTGGTCTATTAGCAAAATGCATAATCATGGGTGATTTCAATCGGCCTGACATAAATTGGTCTAATAAAACCGCAAGAAAACCAGCCAGTCGTGAGCTGCTGTCCGCTATCAAAGAATTCGAGATGATACAGCTAGTCAACTTTCCAACCAGGAAGAACAATTGTCTTGACTTGTGTCTCATCAGTGCCAACTCGCTTTTTCACCAGCAGTTCCCATCAGCCCGCCCTCCTCTACCAACGATCATATCGGTTTTGAATTTTCTCTGAAACTAAAGAAATATCGCAGAAAATTTCGTACTGTTAAGCGATGGAAAATCGAAAGCAATAATGTTGGTCAGTTCATCGACGCGTTAAATGTTGTCAACTGGGAAAGTTTATTTTGCAATTTAAACGTTAATGAAAGAGCAGATAAATTTGAAAATGTTTTTCTCGAAACAGCAAAAGCATATTTTGAATTTAGTGACGTGAAAATTCGGATTGGTGCAGTGAAATATCCTAGAAATATTAAAAAAGTAATAAATTCAAGAGATCTTGCTTTTCGTAAATACCGACAGATAAATCTACCGAATTTGAAAACTAAATGGAAAAAGTTGTCAAAGAAATTAAGTGTGCTGCTAAGAAAATTTGAAAAACACAGACTTTCTGATATTTCCACTGCACACAGAAACAATCCATCCAAATTTTGGCGGTATATGAAATCGATGAATGACCGCATCGGTATGCCACCTCTCAAAAGGCCGGATGGCACGACGGCAGCTACAGATAACGAAAAGCTAATCTACTGAACGCTCTGTACCGCGAGTCTCAGTCGACCTGCAACGCGCACTGTACTGGCTCTGATTTAAATTTAATTTGCGGCAACGAAGAAAGGTGGGAAATCTCGGAGCTTTTGATTTTTGAACAACTTGCGAAAATTTCTGTAACAACTTCAAGTGGCAAGTACGAAATCACTAACAAACTTCTGAAAATTGCTGCTCCAGGCATTCTTGCTCCGCTCAGATTAATTTTTAATGCCGCTATCAATGAAGGTGTGTTTCCGGTGAAGTGGAAGCATTCGTTTATAACAGCAGTACCGAAAATCTCTGCAGATCACAGATTGCCGGGTAGCTATCGACCAGTTTCAATGTTGAACCCAGTTTCAAAAATTTTTGAACGTTGTCTTGATCAATTAATTCGTGAACATTTGAACAAAAAATTCAATACTTCTGGATCACCAGTTTGCTTACCGGCATAAAAGGTCTACTGAGCTACAGCTATTTCTTTTGTCAAGTCTTTGAACGATTTCAACACAAGCGGCATTGCTGTAGATGCAGTATTCTTGGACTGCTCAAAAGCTTTTGATAAGCTTTCCACGAATCCATCATAAACGCGCTGATCGAAATGAATCTTCCCAGTCACATCGTACATTTGGTCTCTGATTACTTGAAAGATCGAACACAATGTGTGACAGTTGGAAATGAGTTTGCTCATTCGTTACCCGTTAACAGTGGTGTACCGCAGGGTTCAGTTTTAGGGCCACTACTGTTCATTTGTGTCTTAAATTTCATTCTCCGCGCATTAAAAAACGGTAGCGCCGCTCTCGTTTTGCAGATGACGTAGTTATTTTTCGCCCCATTACTGAAACAGGTGACAGTCAGCTGTTGCAGGAAGATCTTACTTCTCTCAATGAATGGCTTGCTAGCAAAAGCTCAGTCTAAACGCTGCTAAGTCTGCCCACGTTCACTTCTCAAAACAGAAATCCTCGGTCTGCCCATATTATTACAGTATCGATAATGTTACGATTCCAAATTGTGATCATGTCAAACACTTGGGCATATTCGTTGACCGAAAACTAAATTTTAAATTAAATAGTGAAAATGTAGCAAAAAATGCAACCGAAAAATCAGCTACATTAATCACATTTTCCGTTATACTGATTGCGGTGCTCGCATACGACTTTTTGAGTCTCTTGTCCTCTCGGTCATCGATTACTGTTGCTCCATCACGCACCCGTTATTCAAACAGTCCGCTGATCTCTTAGAACGTTGCCAGAGAAGATTCACTAAATCCTTGCGACTCGGCAACAATGTTCTAAATTATGGTGCACGGCTAAAAGAGCTTAAATGGGATGATTTAATTACTCGCCGTTTAAAAAAAGCGCTGTTGTTTTTGTATAAATTGGTCTTTCGGGTGATTCCTATGGGTGATCAAATCGTAACTCCTCTTACGTTTTCGGTCTCTGCGTTTGAGTCTGTTGCAGGAAACACAAGATCATCCGAGCGTCTAATGAAACATCCATGTCCTATAAAACCTGCCGCGACGACCTTTTGTGGGATAACAGTGACTACTGACCACCTGTCCTATATAAACACCCTCGCCTCCATCTGGAACGAGCTTCCTTTGCAGCCAGTAGCCTATGTCACATTAAAAGCCTTTTCGGAAGCCCTGGAAACCGTGAAATTGAATGTGCTGCCGTCGGTTGAAATCTTAAAAGCCAATCTTTACTCTAAATAAATGCTTATCTGCGCTTTTTCTTTGCTATCCTTGTAGGTAATGGGTACTTTATTGAGTGTGTACTGTTACGCATAAACGGCTGCGACTAGTTGAAATAGTACAGTACAGAAAGGCGATTACGTGCGTAAGTGTCCTTGCTTTCCTTTTCCCACGATTTCTTTTGGAATACTTTTTGAAAATTTGAATTAATTTAGCTGTACGTGGGTTTTGGTTTTATGCATCGACCCCAGCGCGATCGTCTCCCTCCCTTTTTTCCACAGTAATATAGCGTCAACTTATCGCAACCGAAAAAATAATGTTTATTTCCATCTCTATGTCTCTTAATGTTACTGCATCTGATCAGTCGTTTGGTTGATGTTTTTGTGTTTTGCTGAAGAATGCTTTGTGTTTTGTTTTTGCGATCTTCATTGTTGTACTCCAATGTCGTTTCACGACTGTTGTCTGTAGCCTAGAGGGGGCTAATGCTCCGTGCAAAGGACAATAAACTTCCATTATTATTATTATTATTACTCGAAAACAAATCAAATCTGATTGCCGATTGCTATCCGCACTTGGTGGCAGCTCCGCATGATCGTTGATTGTTTTTTTGTAGATTCTTATGTAAAATGAATGCCGTTGCAAACTCTACGCCTCCGTTGCGGCGGCTGCTGGCTGGTAGCCATCAGATGAGCTACCAGAACACGGTTGCCGTTAGTGATAAGGGCGCAATGTGGCTGGGATTTATACAGGATATCGACGGGGATCGCGTGTTCGTCGATTTCGACTCGAACAAGGTCGCAGCCCGGTGGATCCATGCGGGAAGTGTTTATCCAAATCAAAATCGGCATCAAAATCGGCATCCAAATCAACAACCCAGCGGACTATTCCGGAACTCCTTGACACCTTTAAAGATGAACTCGCGAAGTGTACATCAGCGAACTATAAAAACTTGAAGTCAGCCATGGAAGAATTGTTGCCCTTTATGAGTCGCATCGTTAGCCAAAACATCGAGCAACACAATCGTATTCTCGACCTAGAGCGAGAAGTCCACCTGCTGAAGAAGAATCAACCTCCGGCTACGCCGATTACCATTCCTCGTGTCCCTCAAAATACGGCAACCGCAGCTACATTTCCCAGAGAAGACACTTTAGCCTCCCGGGATATTCCGAAATCGTACGCACTTGTCGTCTCAGCCGATAAAACTCGGGCCGATGAAGGCAGTGCAAAAGATTTTGTGGATGAAATTGAAAGAAAGCTCCCCCAGTGCATCCCGAATGCCAGTGAACGGTTTAACATGGATCAAGTTCGCCGTACTCAGAATAACAACATTAGCCTATTTCAGATTGCACGGTTTGTGCTCCATTCGGCTCCGGTTCCATATGGAACCTTCGGTTGCGGGTTGTTTTACGTCCGTTCGCGACGTTAGCAGCTGTAACCTAGCGTCGTGCGGTGACGCGTAAAAACTATCTGCCTTACGCGGATGCTTGCAACGGCTCAAACACATGAGTGAATGGTAGGCCAGCGTATGCTACCCGTGGATCTTTTTTGAGCACTCAGACCGCCGACCGTTAGCAGGGTGGTCACGTCCTCGCGCGCACTCGACTCGATTAATTTTTTCGTTGCTGTACTCTGTACGTGACCAAAGTGTAACCGCACAAAGATCTGAAGCAGTTTTCATCCTGCCAACGTACTGCTTATCTGACGCCGTGCGATTCTATGTACGGAGCCTCTACCGTATGCAATCTGAAATAGGCTATTGTCATCCGGTTTCACGACGAGAAGGATCGGGAGGCCGCGCGAGCCAGAACTGGACAAACACAAAGAAGACCTAGGAATAACTGTGAGTGAAGCGCGAAAACGTGTAATTAAGCTCATAATAAAGCGCGTACCGAGAGAAATGACTGTCGAAAATTTTCATAAAATTGTGTCGGCTAAAGTACCAGAAGCCTGTCACGTAAAAGTGGTTAAAAAACTGACTGGCAAATCTGAAAATGTGAAAACGTGCGCTATGGTTATTGAAACATCTCAAGATGGCAGAGAATTTTTCGAAAAAACTGGTTGCATTCGTTTTGATTTTTGCATTTGTCCGGTAGAGCGCTACGTGGTTCGCTGTTTTAACTGCGGTAACATCGGTCATGTAGCTAAGTTTTGCAAATCACCTTGTCGTCAAGTTACCGAAAATGGTGTGGCACCCACCGGGAGCTCAAAAACGGGTAGAGTTTGCTGATGTGACTAATTATGTTACCAATTCTGATTGTGTTATTGAAAATTTGCAAAAAGTTAAAATAAGATGCTGTAATATAAACGGAATTCCGTGTAAATACAGTAATGTTAAACACTTTTGTTCCGAGGCAGATATCACCGCATTAACCGAAACTTTTGACAGAGCAGATTGTAACGATAATCTGTTTACCAACTTGAATAATTTTAATGTTTTTCGTAAATGGCGGAAATCTGACGTTTTCGATGACAATCATGGTGGAGTGGCGTTAGTAATGTCTCATAAGTTCAGTGGAAAAAGACGGTCTGACCTCGAGTGTGATGAATTGGAAATTTTGTTCGTAGAGTCAACTTCGCTCGATTGTATTTTTGGTGTATTCTATGCACGACCAATTTTTAAAACTATTGTTGTCCCTCGCCTAATTGAGCATCTACAAGAGAAATTTCCAGTTGAACTACGTAATAAACTTATTCTAATGGGCGATTTCAACTTACCGGATATTTGCTGTGTGAGCGGA